GGAAGGAAGGAAGGAAGGAAGGAAGGAAGGAAGGAAGGAAGTTCCAACTTTATTCCATACAGTTACAAATGCGAAATGCCCTTTGATCTAAAATTCCCAGCAATTGCTACAATCATGGACACTTCTACTCCTCCCATCCAAAATCAACGCAGCATTTCTTTCCATTTCTAGCCAAAGGTCGTTTCCAATGACAAACACAAAGTTAGGCTGCATTTTTGCTTTAATCGTTGCAGCCTCTCCGGCAGACTCCACGGACTTCGCCATCCCTTCATCCGTTATGGGAATCGGGGAGAGCCCTAAACAGCAGCAACACGGGAGGGAAAGAGGCCAACTCAGCTAATTGGAAGTCGGGGAACAGTCAGGAAGCCCCGGCCACCTGGCCCAGAGGCTCAGCCTCCCCCCCTCTGCAGGACCCCAAGAAAGCATGTTGGGTGAACGTTTGAGTGGCAGGCCCTGTCTTGCCCAAAAAGTCTGCGTTGGATCAGGCGAAACATTTTTTATAAAGTTTCAGGCTTTAGGACAGACTTGGAAAGCGTTTTCTTATCCTAATTTACCTCCTTGCGGTGTTTTTGTGCACATGGAGGCTTTGTACCCAAAAGGAGAGGTGGAGAGGGAGAGAGGGAGGGAGAGAGAGGGGGAGAGAGGGGGAGAGAGAGAAGGAGGGAGAGGGAGGGAGGGAGAGAAAAGGAGAGAGAAGGAGAGAGGAAGGGAAAGGGAGGGGAGAGGGAGGGAGAGAGAGAAGGAGGGAGGGGGAGGGAGAGAGGGAGTGGAAGGGAGGGAGAGAGAAGGAGAGAGGAAGAGAAAGGGAGAGAGGGAGAGAGGAAGAGAGAAGGAGGGAGGGGGAGAGAGGGAGGGAGGGGGAGAGTGAGAGAAGGAGGGAGGGGGGGGGAGGGAGAGAGATATGAAGAAAACGGGAGAGAGAAAGAGGGGGGAGAGAGAGGGAGGGAGGGAGGGAGAGGAAGAAAGGGGGAGGGAGGAGAGAGAAAGAAAGAGGGAGGGAGGGGGAGGGAGAGGGGGAGGGAGGGGAAAGAGATATATATTAATAGATGAGAAAGAGAGTAATAGATGAGAGAGTAGAGAGATTTAACCACACCATTGCATACAACAACACATGAGTCCAAAATTTCTGTTGCTAAACGAGACATTTGTGAAGTGGGTCTTGCCCCATTTTACAATCTTCCTTGCCACATTTGTTAAGTGAATCACTACAGTTGTTACATTAATTTGGCTTCCCCGTTGATCTTGGTTGTCCAAAGTTCACAAAAGGAGACACCTGACCCCGGGACATTGCAACTGCCATAAGTACATGCCAGTTGCCAAGCATCTGAATCTTGATCACATGACCACGGGGATGCCACAACAGTCATAAGTGTGAAAAATGGTCATGTCACTTTTTTCAGTGCTGTTGTAACTGTGAATGGTCACTAAATGAATTGTAAGTCAAGGACTACCTGTAGGCCTTTTCTTTTTTCCTTTTTGTTAAATGTTTTAATTATTTGTTTGTTTGTTTATTTTACTTGTAGGCCTTTTCAACAGCTATCCTATCTCTGTGTAATAAGTGGTCTCCTAAAATCCATCTATTCCTCTCTTTTTTCACTGTAGCAAAGACCAAGTCTTTTAAAACTAGTAGAAATTCTGTTTGTATAAAGCACCACACAGAACAAACAAAGAGCACAGTCACCATGTGCTTTACTGCTCCACTGTTTTTACTGTAACTGGAAACAGGAACCTCAACTTAGACCAAAAGAGCAGAGAGAGAGAGAATGTGTGTGTGTGTGTGTGTGTGTGTGTGTGTGTGTGTGTTTTCTTAAGTTTTCGCGGGTACTTACATGTATGGTATTCAGCTTTGTTCGGGTATTTTCCCACATCATTATAGTTGTGCTTTTAAAGTTGCAGCAACGTTTTGGCAGAATCTCATCTGCCATCATCAGGCTTCTGTATTGTGTTCGCCTATGGTGTATGTATGTATGTATGTGTGTGTGTGTGTGTGTATATATATATATATATATATATATATATATGTATGTATGTATATGTATATATATATGTGTGTGTGTGTGTATATGTATATGTATATGTATATGTACATACCATAGCTCCAAACTTGTAAATACTGCCATCTACTGGCTGAATCCTACTGTAGTTGTTGCATAAATATATATTCCAACAATGTCTTCCAACAAAAACAACATTTGGAAATTAAGAGCGGCAGTAGTACCTCCTCATCAATTTTTGCCGCTGATGATGATAATGAGGTCTGCTATTTGATTTTTTTTTTTTAATGTGGATATGTCAGTGGTCAATGTGGTATTGTGGTCAATGGTATTGACGCATTGAGTAGTACAGAAGGGTTAGTAAAATGAATTAGATTTTTAGAATTTAAAAAATTCACACAGAAGAACCCAGAATCACAGCAGAAATGCGCACGATGCAACAAATTGATTTTTGCAAATCCTTTCAGTATGGCAAAATCTCTTTTGGTATTCTGAAGGTGAAAATCACACTCAAGAGGTTTGGGAAGAAATAAGAGACACTATAAAACCTGAAGCTTACAGAAACATTATTTTGAGTTTCAAAAGTGACATAGATCGAAATGGCTTTCAGAGCAAAAAAAAAAACAAAAAAACCAGGGAGACTGAAAAACAGAAATTTCACACTGTTGCAAAGGCAATTTATTCTGTTAAAAATAATTGGATGCTACCTTCAACCTAAAAAGCATTTGCTATGGGTTTTCTGACTTTCTTTCTTTTCAATAGACATTCCGCTGTCTTGGAAACTCTTATGGCTTGGAATAAAAGTTTTATGCTGATTTTTAGAGACAAAAACTGACCTTTTACTTTTATTGGCAATTTTAAAACATACTAGAAGAAATACGGACAATCAATAGAACGTTGAAATAGAGGCTTAGTGTTTCCAACAGGGCAACGTTCGTGGTGTTAATTTAAAAAAAAACGATTGAGATTTGTCATGATTTTAAAATCAAGCTAATTTTTCAGGTTTATGGGGCTCCTCAGTGGAGTTGAATGAACACGGTTAGCCTTATGTGGGAGATGCATGGTTTAATGAATTTAAAGTTATGCCATTGCACATCTTTTGGTCATTCCCCTTTGTAGATGCTTTGATTAATCCACTTATTGATATACAGGGTTTAAACCTCTCATTTGCTGATCCTGAGTGACATACAGTTGCCAGATATATAGACACAGAAAGAAATGAGCTGCCAATGGGCCCATCGCAGATTTGCAAAAATGGATGTTTTAAATAAGTACTGTGATGACGCGGAGTGTAACACAAAAGAACAAAATCCAAAACGTAAATAAATGTCCTTTAATGCCTCCAACTTGGCCCCACTGTTCAATAATTCTCAGTTGGAGATAAAACTTATTCAAAAATAGTTTTCAAAAGTAGGCAATACAGTCTGAACTTAATAAGCAGACAGAGGTGAAATAAAAAATAAAATAAACTACAATGAAAAAAGTAAAAAAAACTACAATTCTACAATGGACCAGGATCAGTAATTACCAACTTCAACGAAATAACAAGGCACAGTCTGTTGGAAGGACACCAACCAAGATAACTTCAGCCCAAAATAACACACTTTGCAACACTGTGTTTTAACCGTCTCTCTTATCTACTATTCTCCCCAGCTGCAACCAGTGAGCGGGATCATGGCCACTTCCTCTCTCATAAGCCAGGTTGTTTCCTTCTCCCTTCCTCCCTGCTTGTCCTAGGATGCAGAGGGGATAGGCCTGGTTCTTCCTCTGACTGCCCAGCCGGCCTCTGCCCTTCCCCAGCCTCCTCCACAACCTCCGGAGCGACACTTCCACTCTCTGTCGGCTGTTCCTCTTCTCCCTCTGAGTCCAATTCTAACAAGGGCATGACAGCACCATTGTAGTGCATCTCGTTTCTTCCTCTCCCGATACTACTGA